CCTTCGGCAGGCCGGGTTTGAGAAGGGCAAGATACCAGTGAGCGTCGGAAGAGTTAGTAGTAGTCGTAGTAGTAGTAGTAGTAGTAGTAGTAGTAGTAGTAGTGGTGGTGGTAGTGGTAGTAGTAGTAGTGGTAGTAGTAGTAGTAGTAGTAGTAGTAGTAGAAGTCGTAGTAGTAGTAGTAGCTGCTACTACTGCCACTACTGGTCACCATTTTGGATGATATGGGGGTCCGAGGATCCTCCGGGTAGCCATGCGACCTTCACGACCTTGACGTAATCAGAAGTAAGCATTACCCTAAAGTACCCTCAAGTATCCTAAACCCTCAACCAGAACGCCATGAACCTACAACAGCTTCGAACCCCTTTTAGAACCCCCCCCCTCTCTGTCGCTCGCTCTCTACATATATATATATATACACACACACACACACCTTTTCACAACCTTTGAGCCCTGAAAGTATGGCTTCCCCTTGAGCTCATTGAAAGCGAAGTTGTTGCGGATGGCTCCAGACCTCGGCCCTTTTGGCTCCGCGCACGTCGCTCCAGGTGCCAGCTGTACCTCAGCGCAAAAGGAAAAGATAATCCGATCGTCATACGTGATAATAGTAAAGAATGATGAAGATGACAATAATAGGAGTTACAGTAACAAGAGCAACGGTAGCAATATAGCAACAATAATAATCGTTCCTGAAAAAGGAAGAAGGCTTATTTAATTGTTCTTAGGGTTTACATTGACATTTTGAGGAGTGATAAAAGTAGAAGGCACAGTGTAGAGTGTAGGGTTTGGGGTTGTGAGATCACCCGGTGCAGTACAGGAAGGACTCGGAAATGGGGCCTCAAAGCAGCATCTCTTTTGCTGAAGTGTTTTCTCATATTAACAGAGAGTTTATTTAGAAGATTGGGCGTCCCGCTTGCACTCCCTGGATTTTCGGACACGGCACAATCTCAATAGCTTTTTGTTGATTTAGCAGAGCGTTTATGTAGAAGATTGCACATCCAGCTCGCACCCCCTGGAGTTTCGGACAGACACAGCGCAATCTCCATAGCTAAACTGCATTCTTAATTTAGAAGAATGCCTGTTTGTCAAAGGTTGCGTGTCGAACATGTAGATAAACCCTAGAGCCTAAACCCACAAACAGCGCTGGGCCACATCTCTGGCAGAGCTTCTCCCCTTCAGGGCTGTACGTTCCCTCAGGACAGATCATGCACGGGCTCCCGCGCACCTCAGGTGTCGGCTTCGAGGCTCGCTGGAGCAGGGAGGCAGGCAATCAATGCCATGGATTCGGGTTTCAGCACTCACACTCGGACAAAGATTCGGGTTTAGGGCTTAGGGGTTTAGGGGTTCAGGGTTTGTCTTCGGATTTGGGGTTAGGTTTCAGAGAAGCTATCGTATGATATAGTAGAATACATTATAGTATGTTATAGTATATATTACAACAACTCATAGTATATTATAGTAAATTGTTAGGTATCGGCAACACTGATCATTGTGATCATGAGGAACAAAACATCGGCCCCTGCGATGCTGTCGCATAGTCTTTGAAGTAGCAACGCCAGTCAGAATCATCAGAACCAACGCAATGATAACATACGTTCCGTGCTACTGCCTATGCCGCTGGCACAGCACAAGTTTGGCAATCGTGGTATAAAAAGCGAGACGTCTCAAAGAACCATCGTGACTCAGAGCAATGGCAGGGCCGGCGGCCCAAATGAGAGTGAACTACAGTGATACTGGGAAGCAGAACATACGACAAAGACCCGTTTTGGGCATCCGGGCTTTGGAAAGTCGGCCGTGGAAGTGACATCATCTTGAAAAGCCGTAGCACCACTGGCGACAGTAAACTCCCAAGACCTTCAGAGCCGTACAAACCAGATGAACACCCCTAGATTCTTTTCAATCTGGATCTCCATGGTGTGCCACTTGTTTTGAATCAGGGCTTCTGCAATCGCCTGAATGTCTGAGCATACATGCTAACCCCCCTTTGAGCAGGGACTGCAATGCACTAAGCCCTGAATCCCTTCACCTATATCCTTTTTTGTTGAGCACGGGCTTATACCTCTCTAAACCCTATATATACAACACAATGATCCTCAAGCTCTCAACATCAGTCGTGGCGCAGGCCGGCCAAACCCTGCAGGACATCCTGGGCCGTTTCATGGGGTATGCATATAAAGTTTAGGGTTTACGGTTTAGGGTTTAACGACCCTCTATGTCTCTATGTGTGTATGTGTATACACACATACATATACATATACATATATATATATATGTCACCCTTATACGTAGAAATGAGCATGCCAACAATTATGTATGTATGTATGTATGTAGGGACTACAATACCAATCGAGTTGCTTGAAGATTTCACAGGGGAGTGCGTTAACGGTTCGGCACTCAACAGCCTGGCAGGGCCTTCCAAGGTGCTTCAGACCTATATTGCAGGCCTTGCTTGCATGCGACTGCCAAGCTGAAGGCCTACAAACGGCTGATGTTTTTGGGTAGTTATCTAAATTAGGGTCCCTTTCTGGGTCCCCAAAATAGCACGGAACCCCTTATACAAAAAAACCCTAAGAAAGACCCTAATTCACAGAACTGCCCATCTCCGGTCCTTCCGACACCTCTGCAGCTGCGGGCAGCAAGGCCAGGAGAAACAGCGGAACAACGGCCATTGGGGCTCCTGGAGGCGACCGGCGATTCGGAGGCTCTGCTCCCTCTCTGTAAAAAGCACCTTGCAAAGAGCTCCTCCGTCCGACTGAGCCTTCCCATAGGCCCTAAGGTAGTTCCTTTTTGGGGTTCATATATAGAAGCCTATAAGGTAACCCCAAAAAGGGAACTACTATGGGGCCTATGGGTTAAGATAGGGGCCTTAATAATTAGAATAGGGTTTGGGGGGATATTGTCTACAATGGTAATAAGGACCCCCCCCAAACTAGTTTAGGTAATGATGAAGGCCTCCAAAGCACTGCCAACTCAGCTGCTACCGCAACACCAGCTTAGCAAATGGGTCAGAAGAACGAAACGACAGCTCTACGGCATAGTCACGAACTTCATCTCGCCATTTAACAAGTTCGGCACCATTGTGTGTTCTACCTTGAGGTTTGCTGACACTGGTACAAGTTTTGCTCTTCAACACTCCGGGCATTCGGATTCATATCATCCCTGAAAGGAAAGTTCATTCAGGGCGCCAGGGTGTAGGCTTCTTTAGGGAGTAGGGTCAACTTTCAAGGCATCCAAATCATCCCTGAAACAAAAACGAGATGTGCATTGATTTTGCCTCCGCCGATGCCAGAGTCTTCGACATCGGGCTCTGTATCACTGTATAAATGTTGAGGAAACGCATTTCTGAGACTGCTGCGGGACCTAGCCGTGTCGCGCCTACTAATGTTGTAATGTAGGGTTCAGGGGACTCCGGGCCTAGTCTGAGGCCTAACTTGAAATGGAAGTCCTGGAACAGAAGGTCTCGCAGGTCTCATCTTGTGATATGGTCAACGCCAAATGAGCCAGTGGGATCCCAATCCACAGGCAGGCTTGCTGCTACAAAGCGAGGCGAGGACCATCAACCCCGAATCAGGCATCCTAAAACCCAAACCTTAAACGCAAACTCCGAGCTGTAGCAGCAACGCACAGCATTCAAGGAGGCCGCATGGGATGACTCTGAAGCGGAACATGTCATTCCCGATAGGTACACGAAGTAGCTTTGATACCAGGATAGCCGGACATCTGCAACCCCTGCGACTCCTTGTAGTGTTACAGGGAAAGGCATGGAGCATAGTCCGATCAGCACTTGGCGCAAGTTGGAGAAGCATCTTCGACCCGAAAGCCTACAGTAAAGCTGTCGGGTGCCCCATGGACATACAGACATATTCCATGTTTGAGGCCTTACTCTAGGTTCCCCAGTAGCCCCGGAATAATAAGGGCACCCTTTTTCCTAATATTCGGTTTTTAACAAGGAGACCCCAAAACAAAAAGGGCAAAAGGGTACTACTCGGGAACCTAGTACTTCATTCCGTGCCAAGTGCGACTTTCCCAGGCCCCACATGCCAGGTGTCCTGGGACCTTCGGAAGATATGGGGCGTCGTACAAAGTTAGGGACTTATGGGTGCTTGTCGCTTTTGGGGGGGGGTGATAGCTGCTTTGCAAAAGGCCTGTGAACACGCCGGCATGTGCTTCAGAATGCTTGGAGGGGAGCCCCAGATCGCAAAACGGTATCAGGCCTCTGCAACTCTAGAAAACTCTATATCAAGCTTTACAGCCGCAAACGTTTTCAGGGCCCCCTTTGGCGTGAAATCCCCTGCTGCGCCTCGCCCATTTCGAAGCCCATCTGCACTTCTCAGGCTCGCTTGTTGTGTTTTGAGTTGAGGGTTGCTTCACGCTGTCAAAGCGGGCATCTGTGAGGAGCAGGAAGCCTTTGCCTTAAGTTTAGGGCTTATCCTGATCATTGCCTGATTGCCTGACAGACTTAAAAAAATGGGCGAGCATTGCACGTCATCTCCCTTGCGGCACCTTCTGTTGGCCGGGCTCCCACTGCCAGCCACCGTTCAGGCGGCGGCAAAGGACGAGGTCATTGGGCATAACCGTCACGCGCTTGCAGTGTACTGCACACACATTCATGTCCTCAAAGAGACCCACAAGCATGCTTTCGCAGGCCTCTTGCAGCGCCAGGAGTCCCTGGGTGTCCATGCGATACCTCTTCGGGGGCTCCCAGTCATCCTCCTGTAGGTCTGGTATAGTTCTACGGCGCTCCGCTCGTCCTTGCCGCCACTCCTCGTACCTTTCGCTGGACATTGCATCGCAAATGTCGCGCACTACCCGCTGGAACCGGAGCTTCGGTATCTGCAAGCTATGGGTCTGCTGGTAGTGTCGGATCTGGATCAAAGCCGACTCTGACTGGCTCAGATGCTTGAAAGGTCTGCCCTGCTCCTCACAGCTCTTCCTTTCTCGCTCTTTGGCTTCATCGAGCTGCTCCTTGAGGGTGCCAGGCTCCTTTCTTCGTCTAGGCTTCGACGACTGAGATGACGGCCCTGGGGTTTCTGCCTCCTCTGGAGCTTCAGCTGCAGCTTTGCGCTTCGATCGGACCATCCGCCGAGATGCGCGTTGGAGCGCCAGGGGTTTCTATCAGGGTGTAGGGGTCACGGTTGGTTTCTATGAAGCTTGAAGGTTTAGGAGCTATATTGGTCTCCCTGAGGATTAAGGGCTGAGGGCTTCAAAGTTGGTGCGCAGTCAGGATCTCCAACAATCATGTCAATCAAGGTCTTGGTTGCCCGCGTATTTTGTTTTGCCCATTGGGTGCCCGGGTTGCTTGAACGAGGCCGTGCTGCGACGTGGGCTGATCTCCGCAGACCTAAAAAACGAAACAATGACAAGCCTGCGCTGACACATCCAGGGTGTAGAGACCACTTGGGAACTGCAGCCTGTGCTTCTCAAGCATCACAAGTGAACTTCCGTACGACCAGAATGCTGCATCTCCTGGAACAATAATCGAGGGGTGAGATCGAAGAAGTTCGCGAGATGCCTATTTTCCTTTCCAAAAAATAACAACATATTACTGTCGCGATTGTTATTGTTCTTGTTATGGTCAATAACTACTACTGTAGTTTGGAATGTAATTACGACTGCTGTAGTTTGGAATGTTACTACTCGTTGCTACTATTATCATGGAAAAGTACCATGCGACTGCCTGGATCCCCCTCGCTCCTGTTTGCTCCTTCTCTGGAAGAAAAGAACGAGGCGAAGGGAACCCTGAGCTGCGCGCTGCACTGCTGTAGCCAAAATTCGCTCCACCATGCACGCTCTGTCGGGCAAGGATGCATGCTCATTGGGGACGGGGTCTCGCGCACAGTGGGTCGCGAAATTGATATTCGATTCCAGTCTTTTTATCTTCGCTGTCCGGCGTGCTGGACTATAGCCGTAGATTCCACGCATGATGCTGGCACCCAGCAAGCCTGTCTGGATCACAGGGCGAATGCCTCACATGAAGATTCTCCGTATAACTGCCTCGTGTGTCTCGCTCTTATGGCGGCCCTTAGATAAATGCAACAACAATCCCAAATAGCAACAAGAAGAATCGAGATGGACCGAAAAGGTTTGCGACATGTATACGGAGAACCTCCAAGTTATGTTTATTTGTCACTGATGCACCCCGGCACCGGCCGGCGCACCCGGCCGCAGCAGCCCTCAGCCTAACTGGCTTCGACCCTTCGGCGATGA